GAACCAGAAGGAAATTTTTTATATAATTTTAAGAACATCATGATTTTGTAAGCAAATCTCATGAATTTTGGGGGCTGGACTCTTGAGCGTTGGCATTTGTCTCTTTCGTGGGTGGTACCTCCTCATCAAAAGGTTTACGAATCCAGGCTAATGGATTTAGGCCTAAATCAGGCCTTCAAATTCCACCATGTCCTGTGACACACCCAACCTTAGCTCCTGCATTTAAATCAAGCCATGGTCACTCATGGTCTTAGATTTGGAGATTCTATGTTCAATCCCCAAATTGTCACACTACTATAGTCACTAATGTCTATTCTGATAGAGAATCCAGCATCCAACTGACCCTGTATCATCCCCTTTCTAGGTAATGCTGCCAGGTTCCCTGGGGATGCCACACCGGTCCGGGGCAGGTGTGGGGAGGGAGACTTCCACTTCAAACCCTTCTTTGCCACATCCCCACCTGCGGGTGAATCCAGCAACAGCTTCTTCACCTTCGCCTCTCCCAGCAACGAGCTGGAGCCACATCCTGGAGCTAGCAGGGCCTACAAGATGAAGAGGATGTAACCGGTAAAGCGCCTTCCACACCTGCCTCTTGGAAATTCAGCCCATCCATCAATGGGGGAAAGAGTGAAAATGCTTATTGTCTGGATTTGGGATTCTCCTCAGTATTGGGATATTTCTTTTAGATATTGTAATGTAATCCCCCTCTGATTGTCACCGGCAGATTGTCTTCACCTCTCATCCTAGTCTGTAATGTCCTGTCACCTCTGATTGTCAATTTCATTGTCACAACCTGTCACCAACAGACTGTCCCTCAGACTGTAAACCTCTCTCACCCTTGGATTGTCCCTCTCAGATTGTAAAATTGACACCCTCTGGCTGTAGTATCCCATCGCATTTGGACCAAGATCCTCAAGGCACCTAAATACCTTTGAGGATCTGGGCCTGGTTCCGATGTACTCTGCTTAATAGGTTACAAATTTATTGTTGTTGTCTGTGTGTGTGTGTGAGATAATGTGTGGGTGTGTCTGTGTGTTTGTCTCTATGTGTGCATGCAAATCTATGCAAGTGTGTATTCTGGTGTGTGTTTGCCTCTGTGTATGTATTTGGGTCAATCTATGCGTGGGTGTGTTTGTCTGTACACATGGGTGTATAAATCTAGATAGCTGTGTATTATCTGTGTGTGTAAGTCAATATGTGTGCTTAAATCTGTGTGTGTATTTTGGTGCGTCTTTCTCTCTTGTGTATGCATACAGATATATATGTAGGTAGGTGCCTCTTGCTGTGTGTGCTTTTATCTCTGAATGGGGGAGGGTGCGTAGCTCCATGGGTGTGTACATGCATAGTTCTGTGTAAGTGTGTTTTCGCTTTTATATTTATGCTTGTTTTCATATGTGTGTGTGTGTATTTCTCAGTGTTATCCAGTGTGTTCCCCTGGGTACACTCCACCTCATCCTTCCCTTTGCAGTTATTTCCCCACACTTAAAGTTCAGCCATGTTCATTTCCCACTCATTAATTTAGCCCTCACTTTCACAAGGATTTATAATTTTTGGGCCCCACAATGGGAGAAGCAGGGTTGGTTTTGGCATCTCGCAACCGATGGATTTGTGCACTGTATAAAGTGACCTTTGTAAATAGGTTGTTCACCCTCTCAGAAATAAGATTAGCAAAAAAAGAAAGGAAAAAAATTTGATCTTTTGTATCTTGGTTTCTAGTTCTTGTTGGCTCAAGGATGTCCGCAGTGCGGGAGGCGGGCAGCGTGGGGAGGGCAGGTTGGGTGTGGGTGTGTGAGATCAGGGAAGGATCCCAGGAGTGAGGGAGGCGGGTGGCATGGGGAGCACAGGCCAAGTGGGAGGGGAGTGGTAAACTGGGGGAGGGATCCCAGCAATAGTAGGGTTACCATATTTTAAAAAAAACAAAAAGAGGACACTCCACGAGGGCCCGGCCCTGCCCCAACTCCACCCCTTCCCCAAAGTCCCCGCCCCAACTCCGCCCCCTCCCATGAACGCTCCACCCCCTGCTCCTCCCCCTCCCCTGCTTCCCACGAATCAAATGTTCGCGGGAAGCCTGAAACAGGCAGGCAGCAGGTAAGCTGGGGATGGGGCGGTGGCGCGCGAGGAGGCGCAGCCCAGTCTGGCCCCCCCGGCCGAGTGGCTCTGGCCTGGCGTCTCTGGCCCGGCTCGGCTCGGGCCCTGGGGCGCCGGCCCCGGTTCCGGCTGAGTGGCTCCGGCCCCGGCGGCTCTGGCCCCGGCGACTCCAGCTCGGCTCGGGCCCCGGCTGAGCGGCGCTGGCCGGCGGCCGAGCACCCCCAGCCCCGGTCCCAGCGGCTACGGCCCGCCTCGGGCCCCGGTTCCGGCCGAGCGGCTACGGCCCGGCCCCGGCCCTGGGCGAGCGGCGCCGGCCGAGCACCCTCAGCCCTGGTCCCAGCGGCTCCGGCCCGGCTCGGCTCAGGCCCCGGGTCCGGCCGAGCGGCTCCAGCCCGGCCCTGCCTGAGTGGCGCCGACCGGCAGCCGAGCACCACCGGCCCCAGCGGCTCTGGCTCCGGCCCCAGCGGCTCCGGCCCGGATCCAAGTCCCACGACCCCTCCCTATTTTCCCGGACATGCCCAGCTTTTTGGAATTTCCTCCCGGATGGGGATTTGAGGACCAAAAAGCCGGACATGTCCAGGAAAATCCGGACATATGGTAACCCTAAGCAATAGGGGAGACAGCCAGTGCGGGACATGCAGGCAAGGAATGGGAATTGGGGAGGGATCCCAGCAGCAGGGAGGAGGGTGGTGTGGGGAGCACAGGCCAGGCTGCAGGGGCCTGGTAAACTGCGGGAGGTGGGCAGTGTGGAGAGTGCAGGCTGGGGGG